ATCTACTGTACTCGTGCGTATATGTAATTATATTCGTATGCCTATATGCTTTGCAATCGTGCGTTTTTGTGGGACAACTGTAATTCCAATATTACTTTCTTGGCCAGTAGCTCTGATTTTTTTTTTGTTGGCTGTTTGCGGTGCCACACGGACGTCGGAATTCCAGCCTTTCCGACTCGTTCTATCTCCATTCACTGCTTTCCCAGTGGTCCCAGTCGCTTGGGGATTGGTTTCCACTTCAAATCCATTTTGCAATCTCATCTGCAGCTGCCACAATTGCTTTTGTATTGGCCAACAAATTTCGATTTTGTCAATTTGATTCTTTTCCCTGAGCCTCCAACAACTCACTTCTAACCACAACAATAAAGGGTTTTTGTTTTGAGCCTTGCACTTTTTTTCCTGGCAGCGGGAAGGAATTAGGGAAAACGAAAACAATGCCAATACTCTGGCTTTGGCCAAAAGCAATCACAAACTGTGGCAGGGACCATGGACCATGGAGTATGTATACCGTTAGTTCATGAATTCTGTCACATATGAGAACGTGTGCATTGTATAACGTTTTTCACGTGCAATTTTCCATTCGCCATTCGCCATCCGCCTATTCTTCTCTCTGTACTGTACTGTTTCTGCACAATGAAACATGTGACTCACTTGAGTTATGTGCCACATTAACTTGCCCGAGTCTTAAGTGGCTTTTAACCTTATTTCGTTTCCGTTTTCTGCTGTAACTGCACACACACATACACACACTATGCATGCCTGCCAAGCCGCCACGTTGTCGCTACTTAAGAAACTAACTGCATGTGTTTTATATTTTTCACCCGCTCTCTGCCGCGCTCAGCTGGCATCTTCTTCGACTAAGTGCTGCCATTGAAAATGTTCTAATGTCATTGTGTGTGTGTGTGTGTGCAAGTGTGTACTATATATATATTTGTGTGTGTGTGTGTGTGTGTGTGTGTGTGCGACATAGATTCGCGCCTTGAGCTTAAGCAGCTTCCAAGTGCTGTCGCGTGGGCGTCTCATGACAGAGCCCACAGACAGCCTTGTTGGTCTCTTCTCTGTTCTCTGGCACTGCCATGGCGCTGGCATGTTTGGCAACTCCCTCACTACACAGAGAGCATATCGCTTCGATAGACCACAAAATTAATGCCCAAATCAATGTCTTTAAGTGAAAGCAAGCACAAACTTCACGAGGAACCAAGTAATTTAGCTAATTGATTGATAACGTTGTGGTCTTTCGAAACTTTCAAGTCAAGTCAAATCGCAAACCACAAAATGTAAGCAATAAAGCTATATAGGCTCATTCCGTGATCAGCCACCTGTGCAGCAGTTTGCGCCATAAAATTGTGCGTGCTGCGTAAATCCCAAGTTGCGCATTTTGCGGTTTCTTTGTGGTTGTTTTTTTTTCTTTAGTTGGTATGGGTTAGCCTTTTGGCATATTAAATAATAATATTTACACACGAGAGCTTTAAAATAAAAACAGCGTACTCTCTACACAAACTGCAGCATTTTCTAAGGACCTACATACTGTAAGACCCTGACATATTGGCCACAACTGGCCATTAACTTGAATTATTTAATATGCTTTAGCAGATACGTGACCCTATCAGCTACTTTCTGATCAGAAAATATTTAAAAATTACTGAATTAGTATTAGATATAAACAAATATGCCATTGTATTACTTTGTTAATCCATTTTCTTTTTTTTCCTTTAAGTATTAAAGTGTAGAGTATATTCCTATTTATGATTGTTATTGATTGATTCTTAATGCATGCTTTCCTTTTCGATACAAATCAAGCAAATTGTAATATAACAAACCAATGACGTCCCTTCTAAGCACTTGTTTAAAAGTAAATAATAAGTAGTCTTATCCCCTTGAATAAATTCATGATTTGTTGGATTGAAATGCAATTTTGTTCAAGTTTTCTTTTTTTTCTGCAAAGGAGGAGGGTAGGGCTTACTGTAAATACTTGTATGTATATTGCATGTTGCCCCTCGGCCAAGTCTTCCAACTTGGCCAAAATAAATGAGCGAGCGAAATTTAAAAACCAATGCGAGCAAAACTAAACCAAACTAAGCAAACAGACCACTTTGTTAAATTATCTGCGTGTCTGCCTCCTCGCTGCGAGCTCACGCTGTGTGCGAACTAAGCTACTTAGGCGCGAATTTCATATTTCTCCATCAGAGGAGGCGAGCCATTTCGCAGATTAAGCCACTTAGTTTGTCAACTGTGCGGTGAGCTGTCGAGTCGACGGCAGCGCCGGGAGGTGTGCGGAGGGGAAACGATATTCAAATGAGTTTAAAGTGTGACACACGAAGGAGAAAAAAAGCGAAAACTGTACAGGCGAGAAATCAAGTTGTTTGTAAAGGAAATTGAATTTGTAATGTTGACTAAGAGGCAGACAGATAGGCGGACGGACAGACTGACAGACAGACAAAGGAGAGTAGCATCAATTTAGCATCCAAATGGCGATTGAACGTGAAGCGCGACGTTGCTGTCACAACTGAACAAATGCTGGTATTATACATTTTTCTCTTTCTCTGTGTATATGTAGAATTAATTGTTACAACATAAATTAATTAGTATACTAACCATGGCTCCTTTGCGACTGCCTCTGCTGTTTATGGCTAAAATTAATGACAGCATTCAAGGCGGCACATTAAAAACTTTTTTATTACACCGAAATGTATCTCCTTCTGCCCGCTTGTGTGTATTTAATATCATTGCTAAAAATTACATTACAAAGATAAACGTGCCGAAATCAAACGGACGGCCGCCGTATCATTTCAATTAGACCGTAAATGAAAAGGCGCAACAAGCGTTCTTCATAAAAATCAATCAAAAGCACTCTGTTGTGCGCCTTTCCTAATGATTGAAACATTTTGTGCCCATTTTGAAGGGATATTGGCAATACTCTTTTATGAAATTAAATTAGCTGCAAGAAATGTTAAAAGTTCCCTTTTTACTGTTTACCAGCGAATTATTAAAGTGTTGTACCAGTTGAATTATCGTATTTAAATGAAATGGTTGGGAGGATGGGTTTTCATAAAGGTGTAAAATAATATTTACATGTTTTAGTTATAATTTGAGGCGAACTGCAACTTATTGGTACATTTGGTATTGAATTTAATTTAAATTCAATATTCTAGATCCGGCAAGAGAAAAACCAACTGCATAGAAAACTGCATAATCTACCTGTCTATGAAAGTATTTAATATTTACGAGCAAAAAATCGTGCGCAACATAAATAAATTTAGACAATTTTGACACTTTTTGTTTGTTTGCATCATTTTATGGACATTGTTGTTGTGGCATGTGTTAATTGAGTTTCCATATCGACAGCTGAATGCTATTTTTTCGAATATATTTTTTAGCCCATATTAAAGCAACTTCAATGAAATTCTTGTATCATAAAATACACAGTTTGGTGTAAGGCTTTCACGATAATGCATTTAGATGCAAAATTTGGCCTGCCATGTATACAAGTTAGAAGCCATAAAATATGCGCATCTATGCGGGAATAAATTGCATTTTAATATCAAATTTCCTCTCCTTTCTCTCTCTGTCTCTAAGCCACACTGCATCGCACACAGAAAATTTATTGAATTTGAAATTGCAGTTAGAAATCAATTTCAATTTCGCTCCCATACTCGCCCACAGACTCTAGTAATACGCATTTGCTCTGAAGCTTTGCCGAAGTTCGGGGGAATCTGCTGTTATTGCTGCTCCATGGCCCTGTTTCCTTTGCAATGTCCGTTGGCAGCGCAGGAAATTAAAAAACAGCTTTAGCAATAATATACTTATGTTTGCACGTGAGTGGCGTAGAAGCCATAGGAATATGTACATGCTTGCACATCGCAGGAGCCGCCCAACTCAATCAACCGCTACATCAATGCGCGAGCGAACACAGCTCCTTCATTTTCACATTTCGCAGCAGCTGCTGACATATTTTTACAGTTACAACAACAATAGATGGCGCCATCAGTGGCACAACATTGCACAATTCGCTGCGTTGCGCATTTGAAATGAGCAATAATGAAATGTTGTTACGCCACGCCATGTCACGCCCCATTCCCAAGCCCACCTCCAGCTCCAAGCCACATTCTACCTCACCTGTCAAATCAGGAGCAACTTTTCTCATCGGCGCTAGTTGGCCGAGCTGTTGCGTGGGTGGCCGCATTCAAATGGAAAAACTTTTGCACGTACAAAATCTACTTTTCTATTACTTCTGTATACGGTTCGAGTAAAGCACAATGCGTAGGTCCTGTATATGTGCCTGTGTGTGTGTGTTTTTGTGTATGATTATTGTTCGTCTTTTTGCAGTCGCCTGTTACTTTCTGCTGTTGGCACGTTGTATTCAATTTGATTTGGCAACAGTCTGCCACGATAGTTGTATTAAATAATAAACTCGATTCTCGCAATGTTCACTAAACAGGCCAACACAAGCCAAGCGTACAACCGTCCAACCGTCCATCCGACTTATTGCCTAAGCTGCAGCTTTTGCAGCCTTTTGTGCTGCTACTGCTGTTTTCGATTCATATGCAAATTTATTCAGCGATTTGCATTCGAGTTCAAAAGGCGCTTACAGCAGCTTAACAATTTGATGACAGTCGCATTGTGTGCTTAGCCACGCCCACCAAAGGCACTGAGCAAATTAGGGCGTACCCATGTCTTGGCCCGGTTGCTTAATTAAAAACATAAATGTCATGCTTGCACGGCAACATTTCCTTTTCGTATTTACTGACCAGCCCAACACACACACACACACACCCACATACACCCATATACATACACATTTACATATACATACAAATATACGTAAATATGCGTATCGAGCACAAAAGCAATTTAATTAAAATTAATGTATTTCCCACACTGTTTCGCTCTCTTCATTTTTCGGTTTTTGTTTGACGACGACATCGGGATGATGGCTGCTTATTTTTTGGCTCACCGTCAAACTACAACAACTACAACATCTGCCACAACCACAACGATAGGAAAAAAGCCATGGTCAGCATGGAAGGACAATTTCTGGTCCGACAAATTTACGACGATGAAATAACGTACAATCTAATTGGAGCAGCTGTTGAGATACTCAGTAAGTGGCGCTAGTTATGGTCCAAACAAAGTGTGCGTGTGTGTGTTTGGGTGTATGTGTGAGTGAGTGTTGTTAGTAAGCATATGCGTGCAGTAACTGTAAATAGTTACGAGCCAGCATCTGAGCATTTGAGGCGCTACTGCTGAATGGAATTAATGGAATTCCCACGATTTATAGATATACCCGCAGATGATATCCTGGAGCTGTTCGGCAAGACATTCTTTGAGTTTTGCCAGGACTCTGGCTACGATAAAATTCTGCAGGTCCTGGGCGCCACACCACGTGATTTTCTACAGGTAAGCCAGCAGTTTAACAAATTGACTCTTCATTTATTTATAGGATATAACTTAGTATTTGACACCTCACCAAGCAAACCTTTGTTAAAAGACAGCAGTCTTGATATAATTTTGAATTTTTTATTTTTCTACTTTTTTTCAATTTCACTTCTATTCTGCATATATTATTGTTCCATGCGCTCAGTTTGCTTAATCTTATTCATTTAATAATCAACTCCATTGTTTTAAAATACATAATGCACTTTTATTATTATTTATAATATTTTGATTTTCATCTTCCATTTATTTAGGTATTTGTTAATAATCGAAGTTTAATAACGTTTGTTTATTCCATTTAATTGATTTTATTCCTTTACTTTATTCCTTTTAATATTGATCTTATATGTAGTTAGAATAACTATTATATATTTATATTATTTATTATATGTATATTTATTCATTTCTTTTATTAATTTGCATAATTAGTTTCCTTGTTTTTTTTTTTAAATGTTCTTTTCAAATATATTTATTTTAGTTGTTTTTATACTCTGTATATGAAATGTTCAAGAGTATATTAGGTTTGCGGGAGCTGAAAATGTATATATATTCTTGATCAGCATGACGAGACGAGTCGATGTAGCCCTGCCTGTCTGTGTGTCTATCTGTCCGTCTGTCCGTATGAACACCTGGATCTCAGAGACTATTAGAGCTAGTGACACCAAATTTTGCACAAAGTAGCCTAATGGGGGGTTTCCCGATTTTCCATTCGTATAATCGCCTATATCTCGGAGACTATAAGACCTAGGGACACCAAATTTTAGTCCAAGATGCCTTATGTAAATACGCAGAAAATGTATAATAATATTTTAGAATTTCCCTCTCTCCCCCCTCTCCTCCACAATCCATAACTGTCGTATTTCTTAAAAATAATGTATCCTGTACCAGAAAAGTAAAAGAGTATACTAGAAAGTCACCAAGAACAAGAACTGTTCGCTCATAGCTACTGACTCCCAACTTTGTATCTTAACCATACACAGATCAATTTTATTACTAGCCTCATTTTTTTGTCGATGAAAGAAACACTCTTTGTAGTACTCATATATATACAAGTATTTTGCTTATGAAGATATCTCTAGCCGACATTACAAGTATAGTAGGATCTTCATAAAATGCATTAAAAACTGCTACTATAGAAACAATTGTTTCGATATTTCGATTTTGTAACCATTTTTGTGATATGTACATATATGAGATTTTTGTAGTGCCTCCCCAAAATAGGAATCATGTCACTTTATCATATGGCTATCAGCTAATGATTGGTGGAAAAAAATATATTTTCATTAAGTGGCTGTATCTAGGAAAAGCAAGGGTACAGTGTATTCAAGAACAGTCTACTCATTTTATATTATATTATTTATAATTGATCATACCATTTAGTTCATTTTATTGACTTTTCATTACAATTCATTCAGCTGTAATCGAAGTAAAGCGAATTCCTCAATTTATGCTCAATTCGCACGCACGATTCAATAGTTCCGTTATCCTCCCAATTGCATACCATCGCAATTTTATGCCGAAGACCATTTTTCATGAGACCGCCGACAGTCGCTCCCAGACTCATTGATAAGCATTATTTTGCTTGAACGCGCACACACACCCTTGCCCCTAACCACTGCCTCTGCCCCTATCCCTGCCTATCCCTGCCATCATCCTCATTTCACACCTCGTGCTCATACTCATAGTTAGCCTTGACTCGCCTTTGTTGCATTCACTTTCATTTTATTTTCAATTTTCCACATTTTTCACCGCACCATCATCCAAGCGACTTCTACAGACACCTCAGACTCTTTCACTCGGCTCCTCGACTCTGGCTACTTGGCTCTCCTTAGGTCATAATGAAAAATGAAATTGAATTTTTGCTGCATTTCATTCTCTGCATTATCGGTTACTGCAACGCCGTGGGGGCCAACCAGAATCTGGATGCATTGCATGACCATCTGGGCACCCTGTATCCAGGAATGCGTGCACCCTCGTTCCGGTGCACAGAGAAGGATGGCGAACTGCTGCTTCACTATTACTCCGAACGACCCGGACTCGAGCACATTGTCATCGGCATAGTCAAGGTGTGTATTATAGTATGTTCCTCGATAGCACTATTGCCTAACCGACCAATTCACGCTGGACGCTCGCTGCGCTTATCTTTTTCACAGGCCGTTGCATCGAAGCTGCATGGCGTCGAGGTGGAAATCGACATTGTGAAGCGCAAGGGCGAGCCCATCGATGAGGCCGAGAAGCTGCGCGCCCTGGCAAGGGAGCAGCAACAATTGGATAGTGAGGCGTCTACATCGCCGCAGCCACCAGCAGCGGATGCCGAGCAGAATAATAATCACAATGCCAGCAACAATAGCAGCGGTGGGGATAGTGTTGCAAATGGCGCCGGCAGGAGCAACAACAACAACAACGATGGTGTGCAGGCTGATGAGAGGGCAGCGAGTTCGAGCAGAAAGCAAGCAGCAGGTATGCTTCAATATACATGTATTATAGGTCGCATATTTTCATATCCCATGTGGACCGCATAGCTAATAAATTCCTTGCTCACTCATTTGCTAATCAGAGCAATATTCTTTTCTCCCGCCAGGCGAGCAATGTCCCTTTCGGACCAATGCATCCACACCCTTGCCACCTGCCAGCACGCCCAGCGGCCCACCTGTGCAGGACAGCTTCGACTGCGATGGCGATAAGGACCAGAAATGTTTGCGCCTCCTCAAAAACAAGAGCGACGACATCGAGCGCTACGATCATGTTCAGTTCCTCATACGTGAAATATCCTCGACAGGCAAATCACAGTTGGATGCCAAAAAAGATGAGGTCATAGCCAGCGATGACGTGGATTTTTTGTGTGAAGGTGAGCGCTAGGGTTATATTTTTATAATTATTGTAACACTTTATGATAAGACTGTCCGTTATAAATATTTGGATCATTAACAAAGCAGAGCAGTTTGTTGGGTTCACTTCATATTTCATTTCATTCCTTAAATTTATTTTATAAATTAAAGAGTATGGGCTTTTGACAAAGAGTAAAATATTCTTACAATACTTTTTAATCACAACTTCAAAGATAAGGAAGCGTCCACACTAGACTAGAAAAAAATACAATAATATGCGTACAACGCCTTCGATCCAGTGAGGGAATTTTATTTGCTATCCGGCCAGCTAATATTATTAATTATTAAGTTACAAGCTAACTACAAGTATTATCTAACTACCAAACACTAATGAATTAAATTTAAACGATTGTGATAAATAATAAATCAGTTTCTGTCACTGATAATTAGATTCTATTAGTTACCAATACCATTGCATTATATAATTTTTTCGAAAATAACTATTCATAATCTCTTATACTTGCTTGGATACTCAGTTCTATACTACACGTAATATGTTAACCACATTCTGTATGTTACTCAATGTTTAGTATTTATGGTGTATTTAACAGCGCTTGTGCTAATTGCAAATGCCCAATAAATATGTACATAAAAAGCAATTATTTATTCTCATTTATTTCTTTCAGCTCCGCTTATATCGCCGGCCACTTTCTGCAAGGTGTTCCCATTTCATCTCATGTTCGACAGACAAATGAAAATTGTGCAGGCCGGGAAATCGGTGTCCCGTGTAATACCCAGGTGAGTTGCGGTTATAGCTGCTGTTGCTCATTATTGCTGTTGTTGCTGCTGTTGCCATTCGCTATTAGCCATTATGGCACTTATTACCACAGAAAATTGCGAGCCCCTGTTGCAACAAAAGCCCGGGCAGCTGGCCAATTGGCAATCACAGTGCACACTGCTGAGTCGGCTAACCGCAATGATTTTTATTTCCAGAGTGGCCGAGGAGAACTGTTCCCTAATAGAAGTGGTTGAGGCCATACGCCCACACTTGCAGCTGACATTTGAAAATGTTTTGTCGCACATAAACACAATCTACGTGCTGCAGACGCGACAGGGCGCCTTGGGACGCAACGAGCAACGTTATTTGAGACTGAAGGTGAGTTGGCAACTCTGTGCTCAATATTCCCAATTGTAGTCCGTCCCCACTTAACTGTGCACTTAAAGTGCGGCTTAAGCAATTGCCTAGCATTGATTTTGTACATTACTACGAGTGTATATATATATATGTATATGTTCGTGGCCAATGAAATTCGTAAACAAAATCGCCGCTTATGCACAGCCGTTATTTGAGACTGAGGGTGAGCTGGCAACCCTGTGCTCAATACTCCCAATTGTAGTCCATCCCCACTTAACTGTACACTTAAAGTGCGGCTTAGGCAATTGCCTAGCATTGATTTTGTCCATTACTACGGGTGTATATATATATATAGGTATATGTTCGTGGCCAATGAAATTCCTAAACAAAATAGCCCCTTACGCACAGCCGCCACATCGAGCAGGCATCGAACAGCTGTTCCAACACCCGGCATTAAATTTAATGCTCCACTCTAATGCGGCTTGCCTCAAATGCACATGAAATTGAATTTTATTAAAGTGGGGAGGGCCATTTTTAAAACAACTCGTCATCTAATTCTAAATTGTTTTGTGTTGTTTTCATCTCCACTCTACATTTCAGGGACAAATGATGTATATACCCGAAACCGATCGCATTTTATTTCAGTGCTATCCGAGCGTTATGAACTTGGACGATTTGACAAAGTGAGTATATGTACATGTGATTATTTAATACGTAAATGAATACCTTGGCAAGAACAGAACTATTTCGTAAAGTCAACCAATTTGGGTTCTGATTTTCTAATAGTACTTTTAAGTACATAACAAATGCAATTATGCAAAGATTAAGGTCAGAAAACCTTTAACGTTTGCCAACTTTTAAATCAATTCATCATCGAACGTTAATGAAGTTTTAAATTGTGTAGTGGGTGGAAATGTGAAGGTGTGTTTAAGCCTGCTCTGTAGAGACAAAGTAATTTAAAGATGCCACCTGAAAAAACGTAATGCAAGAATCTTAGTACGTTGGCCCTTAAACAACTTTCTTTTCGGAGGGGCATGGAAAGTATGGCATCAAATAGGGGAATGGGAGTGCTTATTATTTGCGGAGGAAAATTGAAATAAATGCTTCTTCAGCTGGAAGGCAATCGTTTTGTTGTTGCGCGCCATTCCCCGTTAAATTTATAGGTGACATTAAAAATGTGGCCCATCCCTCTATTCGCATAAAACAGCACGTGGCTGCGAGTATTTCATTTTATTTTACATCGTTGCTATTTTTTCGGTCCACAAGCTAAGCAAATTCAAATAGACTTAAGTTAAATAAAATGCGTGTCATTTTTTCCTGTTCTTCATGCCCCCTTAAACAGGAAGGGGCTGTACATCTCGGATGTGCCCCTGCACGATGCCGCCAGAGACCTGGTGCTGCTCTCTGAGAAATTCGAGGCCGAGTACAAGCTGACTAAGAACCTGGAAATGCTCACGGACAAACTGCAGCAAACGTTCCGAGATCTGGAGAGTGAGAAGCAGAAAACGGACAGGTAAGAGTTCGCGTTGGCCACATGAATAATGGCATTGAGACACTGAGCCGGGCAACCGAAATGAAAATAGAAACACATTAACGTCGAAATGCAGTCACCGGAGGAGGCAGAAAGCGAAACAAAAATACGCAGCATGCTTTCAGGCGCGAAATTAAAATTACTTTTCCATTTCGTTCGTTAATTCTGCTCTCTTCTGTACTGATGCCCACACGCAGACTCCTCTACTCGGTCCTACCCAAATCCGTGGCGAATGAGTTACGACACCAGCGTCCAGTGCCGCCCAAACGGTAAGCACCATCAGAGCTGCCCCAATGGGCACAGCATAAATATGTATACATAGTATAGTATAAGTGAGGCACACATACACGTTAACGTACACACAAACAATTTGATATTTATTTATTGCAAATATTTTCATCTCGTCTCTGGCTGACAGGTACGACTCCGTAACGCTCATGTTCTCGGGCATTGTCGGCTTTAGTCAATACTGTGCGGCCAATACGGATCCCGAGGGCGCCATGAAAATTGTGAAAATGCTTAACGAGCTATACACGGTCTTCGATGCGCTCACCGACTCCAAGCGTAATTTGAATGTATACAAGGTAAGTGAAAGTTCAGCGGTGTTATGGAACATGAAAAGGCACGCCAACCACTGCTAAATGAAGTTAGTAGTTTGGAAACTGCCCTACAGCCTTCTGGTCTGACTGACAATAGCACAGCTCTCAAACTATGGCTGGGTCTGGCATTTAATTACAGTTTTTATGGCCGCAAGTATTGCATAAAAAAGTGCCAGGCCCGCCATGGTATGTTTGGTTTTGCTGCCTTCCGACCATTGCGCCATTTGCTGTGCTTTGACGTTAGCTGTCAATTTGTCAACTCTATGCAAATTTAAACAATGCATGTCCTTAATTTCAGGTGGAAACTGTCGGTGATAAATACATGGCTGTCTCGGGACTGCCCGACCTATGTGAGGATCATGCCAAGTGTATGGCACGTGTTGCTCTAGATATGATGGATATGGCCAAGAATGTGAAAATGGGCACGAATCCAGTGGTGAGTTGTCAAGAGCTGCAGTTTTCAATGACATTCACATATCTATCATAAACAAATATTAAAAGTCCAACTTAGTTTTGTTTGACCCTTAAACTGATTAGCAGGCAGAAAGAAAGCAAAAACCATTTTTTTTAAATATTTTTTCGAGCGGACACCTCACAGATGTTGGTGGAATAACAGCGGTTGGGAGGCTAGAAATGACTATATCACCTTTTATAATTAATTTTTAGAGTTTCCTAATTTTTATCTCGCTATCCCAGAAGGCGTAATGTCTCCGAAAACATATAGGCGTTTGTAACAATCAATCATGGGAAGGAGGAAACAGTGTGCCTTGGTTTTGCTATTCAAAGAATCGCTGCAAATCTCAGAATCGCTTTCACTTGGCTAAGCACTCTTGCAGCATCAGAGCGTACAGTTTAATGAATACTGCAAATTTTATGCGCAAATAAACTTTTAGTTTGAAGAGACGCCGAGACGATGGGGCGAGAGTTGACGAGGACACAAGCCGACCACCCCGACCCACTTCTAATTGTGCACATTTGAAAAAGCAGTTGAAAACTGCTCTCCACCATTCACAAGTGCCGCGTTTGTTTGTTGCAACTGCAACGCCTGCAACTCAAGCATGTGCGCGCAATTTGTTACCAAATGTGTTTTAGATGCGCCAGCTGGCTGGAAGTGGCAACAGCAGCAGTAAAAGTAGTTACTGAAGCTCATTGGCAGAGCCATTTGAAGGGCACATACATATATAGAAAAATTGGCTGCAAAGTGCACGTAAAATATTAACAGCCATGCTGAAAACTGAAAAAAAAAATTAATAAAAAAATAAAAGAGATGAGAGGAGAAGACAAAGTGAGTTCGTCGCCACGCATACCTAAAAGTTGTCCAAGTTTTCCGAGCTGGAGGAAAATTGCTAAAATTAATTCAAAATTGATGACACAATGTCAAAGGACACGCATCTAGTTGTGTCAGTGTCTGTGTGAACCTTGATGGCGTGTGCCACTTGACCGTCACATGCAGCACCACTGAGCACCCGCTCGCGCCCCTTTTGCCCCCCTTGCCGTACGACTTGTGCTTTTCTTATGCTGGTTTAAATACTTTTGCTTTGAGTGTTCGAGCTTAAAATACACTGCACACACCCATGCAAACACATGTTCACAGGCATGCTTGATCTACACACACACACACACACACACACATACTAACACTTACATGGCCCACTTGATGGCATCCTTCACAATTACAGCAGCAAGCAGTCAGCACAGACGTCGACAACAGCACCAGCAGCAGCGGCAACAGAGGCAGAGGCAGAAGCAGAAGCGAGGGTCTGTTTCAACGGCTACAACGTGTGGCTGAGTACATACATGTGGACGGTGGCAAGCACAATGGCTTTGCGGATTGTCAGTCACTTTGTGTGCTAGATATGGCAGGGCGACGTGATTGTGTGGATAAACGTCCAGACTTCTTCACTACCATTTGATTGGGTTAGATCTAAACAGGCATACACAAGTTTTGGAATACATGAAATCAAAAGATTCATTTATCTATCTTTACTGATTGAGGATGCAGTCATTTCGTGATTACAAGCATTCAAAAGAGAGACCCTTGTCTCGTTTAAAATAAATTGTCCACATAATAGCAAAAAACACTAGTTTTGTCGCATCTTAGGGCTTAATAGTGCAAGTTGTAAATAGCTGATATCCCCTCTTATGAAAATATCATATTATACCATATCTGCCGAAACTTAATAACTTGAAATACTATGTATACCTTGTATACCACAATTTCTTAATTCGGATTCATGCAAACAAATTTAAAATAAACCTACTACATACATGCTGCTTTCCAAAGTAAACAGGATTCATGGAATAGTGCTATTTCTGGTAACGCCATCTGTATGTGATTCATAGTTGGACTTCAAAAATCAAATTCAATTTATAAACCAAGATTATGGTGATAATTGTATATCTCGTGACTGAGTCACGGGTGTTATACGCAATTTAAGAATGATTGAGTTGACATGGAATTTGGACACACAAAATCCCTGTTTATTGATGATGTAGTCAAAAGATTGTGTGAATTTATCAAAATTCGATAAATTCTTCGGTAAAATAAATTGAAATGAAATTATATAGCTCAACATTTGGTCTGGTTTTGCATTTTTCCACACACTTGGCACTTGTCACGGACATTTTAATAACAAGAGGGAACGCTACAGTCGAAAAACTTCCTTCACTGGCTGATATGCGCTCTTAGCAGAAGCAAAAAGAAGAAGAAAAAGAGCGAATTTAATGCTGCAGTTTGTGGGCGTAGTATTGGAGTGAAATTATTTCGCTAATAACTTTTCTTAGAATTGACCGATTTGAATGAAGTTCGAAATGAAAGTAGATATTTGTCAATAGATTACCAATTGGCTTCTGTAGGCTTAAAAATTTGAACACTATTGTAATTCTGTAGCGGGGAGAGGGGAGGGAAGATAAAAAAAAATAAAATAAACTAAGGACTAGGAGCGTCCACATACCAAGTTTGGTTAATGTGCGCTTAGCCGTTTCCAAAATCCAGGCGTTCATTCAGACGGATAGACAGACGGGCGGACGGACATGTCTAGATCGATTTCTCTCATGTCGTGCTGATTTAGAATACATATATTATATGGGGTCGGAGATGCTTCCTTCTTCATGTTACATACTTTGCACAAACCTAATATACCTTTTTACCCTACGGGTACAGGGTATAAACAACAAATCACATTTAAGCCATCAACCACTCCCCGCATTCGCCTGATTAGCCACCGAGCGACTTTTTATTTTCGGAAAAGGCATTTGCCGATGAAAGAAAAGTGTTATATGAACGTATAGGGTATTCAAAAAGCATTTTAGATCGTGTGAATCCTTGAACGAAATCCGTGGCGACAGTCTTAAGTTTTTCTCATTTTAAAATGTTTGCTTTAGAAATCAGCTATCCAATTAAAATATATTTTAAGCTTCAGCCTATTACTGCTCATATCGATTTCAAGTGTTGTTCTTACTTAAGAAAATTTAAGAAAAATATTAAAGCATACTATATTTATTCCATATGTATTGTTTGACCGCCTCTAAGACACGCCCACTGACCACACATTTGCGTATCTTTGTGTTTGTGTTTTTATGCCATAACTACATGTACAAACTGTGAGGACTTCGTCCTCGCATGCTCATGTCTTTTGGCTTTATTGTCAAAGTTGATTTTGCCAGCCTTCCATTTCCATTCCTTATATATTCTAGACATTTTTCTCACCGTACCTATTTGCACTTGAGCTCTACATCTTCTTAGATCTCCCCCTTGTTCTTGTTATTGTTGTTCATAGTTCCATGGTGCAGCCCAGTTGGCACATGCGGCTGCAGTCAACTTTTGCGGCTGTCAGTATTCCATATTTGAGTGATTGCTTTTGGTAATGTACCCGGAAACACGTTTACAACGTTGACGCAGTCAACATCCTCATACCCATGCCCAACCTTATCATCGTCTTCACCGTCTTCATTCTGTACATAGTTGACACTGCATTCTTTGGTCAACAATGGCACGTAAGCCTTGATGCATGTGTCCTGAGCAGCAACAAATCACTTGTTTGTTTTGCAGTGAAGCATTATATGATAGATAGCTAGAAATGCAATTAACAAGTCATGCCAAGTCGAGTCCCAACCTACCTCACTACCCTAATGTGTATGGAGTTTTCTCAATAAAGAACTAGCTGCCATTTTGCGGTTCATTACATTTTCGATAAATAAACCAAACGCACTAAAAAGCACTATGAGAACAATAGAGTTTACCCTTTTTATTGGACCAATTATGCAGTGTAGTTGTTGTAGTTGATTCTTGAAACTTCTGATTCCTGCAAAAAGTTGCGTCCGGCGCCATTGCATTATTATGATAGTGTGCGTGAGTGTGTGTGTGTATGTTTTTTGTTGGCTACTTCCGGCGCAGCGAGCAACTTGAAAATTGCGCTCAATAAATATCGTTTCGAAAGGCAGTCGAGCGAATAGTGCACGTGCGCCTGCAGCAGCGTCCTGCAATTGTTTATCCTTCCAAAACTTGGACTGCACATTTCTGTAGCTTTATTTTTGTTCTTGCTTTTACTCGAGCTTGCTTTTTAAATGAGCAATCAAAGCAAACAAGGCATAGATATCTACTACCATTAACGTAAATAGTCGCATGGCTGTCGTTGTTTGTTTTTTCTTTCCCCCAAGGATGGCTCAGATTGCAAACAACTTGTCTAAAGCTTATTTGCTTTAGAGTGGAATTAATATTCATTTTTAAAGAGTTTCTTTCTTAATGTGAAATAACTTTTCAAATTGTGCACGGATAGCTGAAAATTAGATCTGCGATCAACTTATTTTGATTTTTAATTAATTATAATTGACTTTTTTTTGTTAATCTAACAGATAAAATAAAATTATGTTGTTCTAGAGATCAAAAGCATTTGGGTATTTGCTGAAATTTGAATTCAATCCAAAATATCTGCAGATTTTTGGGATGCATAATCTCTCCTGTAGCTAACATTTTTAGGTTGACGTTTCTTTCAACCATTTCAATATATCGCATGACATCACTTCGATTTAACTCAAGTAACTGTTAACAGCAGGACACATCCTGTCATCAGACATGCTCAGCTTCCTTCAATTCTTGGCCTTAGTTTCTTTATTATCCCCCAAATCTGTTTTCAACAGCAAAAGTGAAATTATTTCTTCAAGAGTTTCCCTGCTTTTGTTTTCATATTTTTGCGGACAGAAAAAGTTTTTGCATTGCTTTCCATTTGCTTATATTTTGTGTGCGGTTCTAAGCATTTGTGTCAAACCTTATCACACTTTCCCACCCAAACACACAGACACACTTGTTGTCATTGCAGCATTTGCAATTAGAACTGTTGCCACGCCCACTTTTGGGGTACGTTTTTTCCCGATCTGGGGCGTACTATTAGCCAACATTTACGAGTACACGTGCTTACAACAGTTTTGTGTTTTTTGGCACTCTGTTTCCTTAGTCCACTGTTGGCACCTCTCTCGCTTTTTGGCATCGACTGCAGCCGCAGCTCATTTTGTTTTAAATTTAATTAAGAAAAAGTTTGCTCCTTTTGCTGTGGTGCAAGTTTTGAAAGTAATTGTGGCAACTTTTCGTCGGTTTACTTAGAACATTTCACTGCAGCTACCGCTACAGCTCTCTTTGCCCAGCGTTTCCCCCTACCCTGGCCAGTAACTTGGCGTGGTTTTTAGCCAAGAAACTTTATTAGCGAAATGAAGTGTCGGACTTTGTAATCTGGGCGCTTATGGCATTGCGTTGTTATTAGGTTTCAGCAGCAGCACATGTGTTGGATAGACAACTGACTTTTGGGTTTAATTAAGTCTAAGAAATCTAAGCAGATTGAATAAATAATGAAGTGGAAAGTGTATGTTAAAGAACGACCCTCATCCATATCACTCACATATCATGCCACATTAGAATCATATTCTCTCATATGAATAACTACGAGCATGTTAGAATTGTTTTATGTTTGGCAGGAAACCATGATCCACCGCGGAAATCTCTAACCACATATGATTCGTGTCAAAGCTTTCCGAAATTACAATTAAATGTTCCCCCAGTGGCTTGGATATTTATCTTCTTTTTCCCCCTTACATATCAATTAGCATTTAATTAAATGTCCCTTTTTTTAGGTAACTGGTTTTAGATTGTTGTTATTAAATCGTTTGCTGGCCATATTTTTATACATTTACAAGACTGTTGTTTTTAAGGCACTTTGAAATTATAACGTTTGTTTTTTTTGTAACCGATGCGAACATAAATATATAAATATATGGACGTGCGTGCACTTCTACTCTTCCACTGTATACCCACTATATTCGTACTATATTATTTGTATACCTCAAGGGGAAAGGTATACTAGTTTTATTCGTCTGTATGTAACATGAATAAAGAAGGGGGTGTTCATAGTGGAAAAAAGCCGAATCGATACAGACATGTCCGCCTACATGAATCATGAATTGCTAGTAATTATTAGTAATTGAAATACCATGTCCTACCTGAGGTTTTAGGATCATTAATGTTCAGAGTGGTAACAAAAATATTTTACAAATTTGGCAGCTGCAATACAGCTGAAGAGTTTTTCCCCAATTGAAAAAATATACAATTTAGAAATTATTATTTATTTATTTATACTATATATTAGAAATCAGTTACTCATTCATTCATTTATCTGCCTATAAATTCATATAAATTTCTGATTACTTAGCTAACGTCTATGTGCCTCTTACAGCAAATCACCATTGGCATTCACTCTGGAGAGGTGGTCACTGGCGTAATTGGCAATCGCGTGCCTAGGTACTGTCTTTTTGGCAACACGGTGAATCTGACGAGCCGCACGGAGACCACCGGCGTTCCCGGCCGCATTAACGTCAGTGAGGAAACATACAGGTGAGTGAGGGTGGGGTTATATTATACTTAAACTCTCCCTCAGCTTAGCAGCTCGAGTGCCTCGTCGGGGTCATTATCGTTCTTTTCGTTGCAATTCTGCTGCTGCATCTCTGCGGCATTGGCTGCTGCATAGGCTGCCACAGCCGCCTGCTTGGCCTCGTTTGTAATGGCGCCGTCGCCAGTGGCCACAAATGCTGCCACTGCGGCCTTCTCAGCATTGGTGACTGCTTCCAGTAGTTGCACGCGGTTCTCGCTCTCATCCTCACTCTCTTCACTACTGATGGTCTCTAATCTTTGCAAGGCAATTGCCAACTTTTGCACTGGCTTTGCGCCCTGTGGCGGTGGCTGGTGCTGGTGCTGCTCAGCCCCTTCCAGCTCCTCGGTCAGGTCAATGTAACGCTGTAGGCGCTTGGGCAGGCGCAAGGTGTCAATACCATTTGGCAGTTGATTGCGTTCGCGCAAGAGATCACGTATTTGGCAGCTGTGTAGCAGAAGGAAACAAAACGAATATTGGGTTACATGCCAAGTTTTAAGACTTAAAGTCACACACACACACAACACATACGAGTATACTTTATGGCCAAAATATTGGGTTTAGCGCCTACTCGTACGTCTTTGTGCTAGACTGTCAATTTGCCGACACATTCCATAAATTAATTTCTCTCATGCACAATAAACGCCGAATCTGCTGACGCTAAACTTCATGTACTTTAAACTTTTTGCTGTTGAAATTCTATAAACTTTGGCCAAGTTCTCTTACAAGTATTTCTCTTCGCTCCACATCAAAAACAAAAGCGAAAAGTTTAAGTAGCGAAAACTGTATGCTGTCTTTTTTTTTCTTATTCAATTCGACGCAATCAGCCGACTTCGAGGTATAGTGGAAAAGCTTTCAGGTCCACAAAGTTTTTGTGTGAGAGTGTGGGCGAGTTCCGAAATGGTTTAAATAACACATGCGCTGGCACGCGCTGCCAAAACTTATAAAAAAACATATAGCTATGTATATGGGTATATATACTTATACAGAAGAGGAACTTTGTAACTTTAAGGAAACCGTGGAGAAAGCGCCAAAGCAGCGGCCACAACAAATTGGCGCCATAAAACGCACTGAAGGGAAAAATGGCGGAGAGGCAGCTTAACAACATGCTAATCGCCTGCTCACGATGCCACAAGGCAACAGTTGCACTGTCCGCCTTTTATGTACTTGTTAATTTTTCTTGTCAACTTTTTGGCTGCAATTTACGACCCAGTTTTCTTCTTTTTTTTTGGAAGTCAACGACAAATCTGGCCAATCCATAACTCAAATTGCCGACGATAAGTCGAAGCAGGACGCGTACAGCTGGCTGTTGGCCAGCACGGAAGTAGGGGCTGTTATGTAGTATGTAAAAAAGCACTGCCTACTTATAGGCGCGCCCACACACAGACACACTGCTATGACAGCTAATCAGCATAAACATAAATCAGTGCTTGAATTTACAAGCCCCAGCGACAGACTGACAGGCAGAGTCACGAATAAATTTGCAAGCTAGTTTACTTTGCCCCCAACAACTGAACTAACCAAATCGTGAGTGACATTAATAAGCACAATTTGAAATCGCATGCAGGTCCTTCCCTCGAGAGAGATAGATAGGGAGACGAGCGTGTGCAGCAAATCAAAATAAATTGTAGCAGTAATAACAAACAAATGTGAAAGAAATTGACACAGCAAATAAATCATATGCAAGTTCCTGCCAGCAAAACACACATTACGTATTCGACATGTGCGCCCCAACGACATGAGGGAGCCAATGCAATAGAAAGATGTGCAAGTGAAAAATTGCATAGCAAACAAACAAACAAACTAAACTAATAAATAAAAATACAATGTGGAAAATATGAGATAAAAGGTTGAGCGCCGTTGGGGCTGAAGTTGTGACAGGAAATCGGAAGCATCTCCGTAATGGAACTTAAAAAGCCCATAACCGTGGCCACTTACAAACTTATCAAATTAAACAAAGCCCATGACTTGGCAGAGTCATCAAATGATGCCAAACTTTTCGATTAAATGCTAATCAAATTAGGCGAAATTCAATTTAATTCGTCAGCCAAAAGCTACATTTAGCCTCTGGGATGGCTCGAGACGGTACGAATTATGTCCTTGTTGCTGACGGCTCGTGGCTTTCACGCAACTTTGCGCATTTCATGCGAGGCATTTTCTTACGCTGTGACATACTGGTCGAGCGTGTCCGGGCCGAGTAGTCGGCAGTCTGGTAGTCTGGCAGTCTGGCAGTCAGGCACTCGGGCGTGCAAAGTTTTTGGCTCCAGAGGAAAATATTAAAAAAATATTTACACGCTAGACAAAAAGCATCCGATGCGTAACGCTGACAGAGTAAGCGAGAGTAACAACAAACAAATACACATGGTGTATAAATGTGTATAACAAAATAAATATAAAAAATCGTATTAAGCCACATGCCCCAAGCAAAGCAAAGCAAAACACGATCTCGAGCCAAAAGCTGTTCCTTATGTTGCTCCTCCTTCAACATCAACATCATCATCATCATCATCTTGTTCTTCGTGCTCTTCTGTTTTCTGGCTGTCACTTCAACTTGAGATTGCAGGCTTATGCGCAACAGACGCGTCAACAAAATGGTTTGTCAAGCTACCCTGCAGACAACCAGTCAGTCAATCTGTCAGTTGCCCCGTTGGTAGCTGCGCTTATTTCATTTTTAGGCTTATCACTAAATTTGGACGCGCTTTCATCTCCTTTCCATCCCCCCTCCTTTCACTCACTTCTGCAGCTCAACCATGCCTAAGTCCCGCAAAGACAAAGTAATTGAATGAAAAGCAAAACTTATTAGAAACGTCAACACAAATGGCAGCCAAGTTCTTAGACATTAAGCGCCTCAGTCTCATTGAGAAAGTCAAGTGCACGACTTTTCAATGTCGTCTTACGACGCAGCACACTCCCAATTCAGGGCCCACGTATTACCCACGCACCACGCATACCAATGACAGTGCGCGCTGCTCGATAATTACCGACATAGATGACGTAACGAAGGCACACCATAAACCTGCTCCTTCTCAATGATTTTGTCCCTGAGCAGGCGGCCGTAACGCTCGAAAAACATCTCACGGCGCTCCTTGTACACTATTGGCTGAAAAAGATGGGGAGGCATAGATAAGAGCAGGTTAATAATGACTGGCATTGTGAGAAGAAGTGTCAATGGAAAAGTGCTAACTTTAAATATATCCACAGTCTCTTTAAATAGCTCGAATTTAATAAAAAAAAATTTAACATATAAAAGTTAATATAAAAGTTCAATTCATTTCAAAAATTAGGTAACATCTTTTAGTGTTATTCCATTAAAAAGAAATCCGAAAGTATTTTCGACTTAAATTCAAAGATGAGTAGACAATAGTAAGCAGCTGCAAAAATTTATTTATTTCATCGACAAACAATGTTGCCGATGTAAATGAAACAAAACAAAAAACAATTCAGTAGAGAGCTTAAAATAAATAAAACTAAAGAAATAAAAAAGCCTACAAAGATGATAAAAATATCTAATAACGAATCCGAATCGGAATTGTATTTGCCAAATGGCCAGCTATGCTCCGATTCACAGCATAGAGTAGTCAGATACGTTATTAGACCTAACGAAAAAGAAGCGGAGATGGAAAAATAACAATAAAAGAAAACAAGTCAAAATTAAAATACTTAAATGATAAAAGATGAAGCTAAAGGTGAAGAATCTCTGACCCGTGGGGGGAAAATTTATTACCCAGTCCGGCAAGCTATGCCCCCACTAACATGTTTGTATCTAACTATTTAATAATTCTATGTATCGTTTTAGTTTATTTTTAAAATGTTCAAGCATTGTTTCAACTGTTATTATTACAATATATATTTATTGTTTCCTATGGTGATAGGTAATTTTTAAATCTTCTTCAGCATACCTATCACACAGAGCATATATGTATGTATGTAGTACATATCAAATATTTACACTTCTTATTATAAAACCCATTTTGGGACTCTAGTCAACTGTTGCCTCTATTCGACACTTAATATTTATGCTTATTTGATTCAAGATAACTCAAGAAAAGCATACTTTCAAGTGTAAACTAAAGCTGACCTGAAATGAAGTCTAATCGTTCTGCAGTTTTGCGTTATGTCTTCTCCTATGAGTGTACATATTAACTGTGTTTGTCAATAAGATGCCCCCACAAAATGTCAACAGTCATGTGAGGATGAACTTTCCAAGCCATAATCACATATTTGTAGACCCAATTTCCTACGATTTTGTGTCAATACTCACCTTGAAAGGCATTTCGATCATCGGCACATTGCGCAGCAATATCTTCAGGCACATCACATGCTCGTAGATGTAATTGCGTCCGTGCTCCATCAGCTTGTCGAGCAGTGCGATGATAACAGAGCTTCCGCCATCGGGCGGATGTGGTGCAGCGCCATATCTGCAATAATAGTCGAGGGATAGAGGTATAGAAACACAGAATGTTGGCAGATTTAAGGCTATTTCTGAGCGGTTGCTACGTGCTAGGAGTACACCACACGTAGTTGGTTTACTTTGGTGGTCAAGGCGTTTGCAGTTCGCAAAGGTTTGTAAATGGTTTGCGGTTGTTAACTGAAATTTGTAGCTATCACAGGTGCACGGCAGTGTCTGCTAGCCTTGCCTAAACGAGCCTGTACGTGCCCGGCAGAGACTTTCCTATGCACCGGTAGTAATAAATGTTTGAAATGCTGATAAACACAATGTGCAAATAAAATAATGAACAGAGCAGAGTTGAGAACAGGACGATGTCACAGCTCGGAGTAGGTGTGTGTCTGTATGTCTGTGTGACGGATTGCAAATGGAGTGCAAATGCGGCTGAAATGACCAGAACCAGACAAAATGGCAAACCAGACCAGACAGTATACAGCAGTGTGGAATAGAGGACGCTGGAATGGCGCTGTTGCTCTCGTGTTGTCAGTTTTCAAATTGAAAATGTTTGTCAAAATGCCCACCCATCATCATCACTTGCTACACACACACACTTAGCATATCGCCATTTGTATTTAAAAAACATTTTGTATTCGCATTCTTCGTGAAGCAGCACCCGATAAGCTGTGTTGGCACAGGTACCCATGCATAGATAGGCAAACCAGTGCATAAATTGTGATAGTCACGAGCATGGCGTATTGTTGCCAATTCAGGGAGAAATTAAATTAATTTGAATTGCCGAAAAAGAGTCATAAAACAAAGCGAAAGAAAATGAAACAATGGAGAAGAGAAAAATCATCTTATTGCGCCAATTTGCATATTTTATAGCAAATTACAAATGAAAATGCAGCCGAGTGAAAACCAAAATGGAAATTTAAAATCGCAAAAGCGAAACAATATCGATAATTTATGGCAGCATCAGCATGACGCAGCAGATGTTGCAGGATGCCGACAATCAAAGGACCACGAAGGCGCTGACGCAAAAAACCAACCAACAGATTTTCTGCTGACAGCCGCGGCGACTCAATCGCCTTTCCACTCGTCTCCGCCAACCCTTCCGCAAATTTCAATTTGCATGCCATCGAAGTCAATGCAATCGATGGCGTTGCAATCAAAGCGAACGGGGGCATGCGTATTTCTTGTGTACTGTACAAAACGTTTTAATTTTATTCCGATCGGCCATTTTGGCAACAATCAATGCGCACAATTTATGCAAAGCAAACTTTTTGGCGCGCTCTCAACAATCGAACTGCGGCAGAAACCACAACAAACACTACAATATCAAGTTAAAAAATAATAAATTGCCAACAACGCAAGGGAAAAAAGTCAAAAGAAAATGCAAGTTTCAGAATGCCGAACAGAAAATGCACTTAGTGAAACTATTCCACAATTATTAAAAATATACCGAAATAATAATGTTTCGTTAGATAATGCCAAATATAAATAATAACTCCATATTAATTTTTTAATTTAATGTTGCTGGATATATCGGCAACACGTTGAAATATTAAGCAATTCCAACAAATAATAACATGAGCTTCGGTCAAACAGACAGATAATTTGTGCACAGATCAGTCGAACTGTTATGTTATTTATTTTCTTCGAAGTGAACAACAATTCCATACACCAAAGTTGATTTTATTTAGCAAAACACCTCCCTTTTTTACTTTAATGGATTACTAGTAAATTGGAAGCATTTGTGAAAATAAACTGCACGTAACACTTATTTGAAACGAATTTTATCTACATTTCATCTTTAAAAAATGTTATTAAAAATTTGATTGTGTTTGGCAAGTTTTTTCCAGAAGCAATTGTTCCCCTAGTGCTCCACAAAACTTCCAAAACTATGTTCTAACGAAAACAGTTCTCAATTTCTCTTTTTCCTAACTTGCTTCAAAGATATTTAATACCAAGATATATAAAAAAAAAGTCAAAAATATGATATAAGCTTAAATCACAATGTCAACTAAGTTTTAATTTAATCAATATTTGAGAAAATTGGTAACCGTTGAAGTTGTTAGCAAGACTGTTGGAATATGTTGTTACTTGAAAAGTAACTAAGTAGTATAAAGTGTAACGAAAATTGTGTCTTGCCGTTTTCAAGACTATTAAAAGGATCTGCGTCCACCTACTGCGATTGCAGGTTAAGGGCATCTAGTCGCAAATGCAGCCTTTCTACATAAACTTATGAACAACAACAACAACAACTGTGGAATCCCTTGCTTTGCTTTCTCTCCGCTTTTGTGTTGTTGTCTCTGTTCTAGATGCTGCTTGATTTTTTGTTTAAAAGGACGCACTTGTAACTTTTTTAAAAGCTGCTTGGCAGCTTGGGTGGCGGCCATGAGACAGATTGGAGACGACATCGCCAGGGCGGTCGACATCAGTGTCGTCATCGCCTTCGCCTTGTCATGCAAATTCACTCTGGCAGCGACTTTTTTTCATATTTAATGATAATTTTTTTGTAGTTCTTATTTTGTGGCTGCTGCTGCTCACGTCCGTGTCAGTTCAGTGCCATTGTGGCCATTGCTGCATCATCTCATGCCGAGAGTTTTGCGAACACTTGCTTATGCTAAGCGCCTTGATTCTCATGTTGCATACATTGAGGCGCCATGAAGTGCCGCTCGCTTTACATATTTCGCGCTAATTGAAGAGCCCTGGGATTTTGCATAGCAGAGAGAAAACCTCTTACCTGAGCAGTATGAGCAGCAGCTCGGGCGCGTTGGCCTGCAGGGCAATGCGTAACGGCGAAGAACGGCCGCAGGACTCGATGGGCACATCGATGAATCTGAAAAAGAAGAGGAGAGAGTGAACTGTGAAAAATCAAATCAGTTTTAGGCCTAAAAGAGCAGCAAACTGCTCTAATGCTGCCACTATTGCAGTCCCTTCAATATTAAGGGAACCCAGCAAATGGCACTGGTCCATTAGCCAGGACACAGGCACACACATATGAACGGGACCGAGCATAAGGACAATTAGGCTGTTTCCCGACTTGCTTGTTGCGCCATTGTCACATTTCGCCTCCTCCTTTGTGCAAGTTTTCTAAGTCATAAAGCTGCCACAATAGTGGCGTTCAGAGCTTTAATTTGATCCGTGCCACATTGCGTATACGTAACAAAAGTTGAATGTGGGGGAAAGGCATTAGCATGTACGGTGCACTCAAAGCTGCTGCTGACAATCAACACACGCACAAATAAACATTTATTGATATAACTTTATGCATTGCGTTTGCTCTTTGCTGGTCGCCCAATTTGCGGTTTGCTCTTTTATGTTCACACATAAAACTAGACAAATAAAAAAGGCAAACCACAAGAAAGTCATTGTCAGATATATGCACACATATATAATATAATATACTAGATGAAAGACCAATAGACAAACAGGTAGTTATATACGCTTGTGTAATCCCGTATGTTCCCTCATTTGTGAGATGCTTAAAATGCATTTGTCTTTTATTAGCAAGCATTTGCAATTTAAATATTTGCAACTACAAGACAGTTAGAAATTATGGCAACTGGCAATAGACTACTAGAGGAAACCCGATTTCAGCTTGTTTTTAAAGTCTTTTCAGCAAATAAATAGATTCATCTTTGATTTAGTTAGGCTCTAAGTTAATTGGTTAATCTTGTGACAATCTTTCCTAATTATTCCTTAATTCATATAGAGATTCATCTAAATACACCTTTTGCCAACATTTAGAAAATGAATTATTATATTAAATTTTAACATAGAAATTACATTTTGGTTGTGTATGTAAGTTAGTGTAACTTTGTTAATTGAAAACCAAGCGGTAGTAGTATATTCAACTTTGGTTTTTTCATCTGCATCTGTGGTGATTCATTTCAACAGTTACATTTGTGCTGATTTGATGTTTTAGGCTTGGTATTCATACGCCTACTATATATCTGAGGCAATTGTAAACGCCCGTTTATATTTCAATGTCAACTCAGATTTATGCCTTCTGCCTGCTGCTTGCTTTGTCAAAATATTTAATGTTGACGCCGTTGTTTCTATTTACTGACTGACATGCACATCTAAATGTGTACATTCGCGTACTTGGTGTTATTAACGCTTATTCCTTGCCCTCAGCCATGTAGTTCAAAGAATACAATGTTGAGTTAGGCACCATGAGAGAGATAGAACATCATAAATGTCGCCTTAATGTTTGACAGTCACTTTCTCTTGCCGGAGTGTGTGTGTTTGTGTGTGTGTGCGTTGGAGTATATATGGGATTGGGTGTTTGTGTGGCCTGCAGCAGCTTTGTGCGCTTATTACACGCATTTTTGACTTTAATCCTCCAGAGTGCTGCCACACAAAGCCAAAATAACAAAGGTTTACATCGCTGTCTGTTGGTTTTCAGCTTATCTCTCTCACACACAGACGTCCGCACACATACTCCTATATGGTTGTGGGCGTGAACATAAATCTCTGTCTGTATCAACGACAAACAAGAAAAGTGAGACAAGTTGAAGCAAAGCTGCCTTGGCGCGTGTTAGAAGTGAAAATCTTAATTATACATATGCGTACTTACATATATAGATGACACCAACAACAGCTGCGATTGAGTGCATGAGTGTGTGTGTGTGTGTGTGTGTGTGTGTACAGGAGTGACAACATTGTGTGTGCGTGTATAATGCCGCCATCTTTTACTCAATTATGGCAGGCATACAACCCCCACTCCTATACAAGCGCACACAATGGCTGATGAATTAATTTAATTAAAATCCTTTTATTCTCAGCAATCTCTGTGCTGTTGTTATTGTTATTTTGCTGTAGCCGTTATTGCTGTTGTTGTTGTTGTGGCTGAAGCTCCCATGGGTTATTTATAAGCCATGTCGCTGAAAAAGCCACAAACTCATAAATTGCTCTACCTACGCTAACATGCCGTCCGTGTTAGCCAAGTAAATATGTATGTGTATATAGTATGTATGGTCACATATATGTATGTACTTATGTGTATGTATGTGTTGGCTACTAGTATGTAGTTGCCAATTAGCTGAACGCAGTCTGGCTTGCCAAGGCTGAGAGACACAAACAACTATAACCGACTATTGTCATTGCCACTGTTACTGAACGTGTTGTTGCTGCAGTTGTTGTTGCTTTTGATGTTGCTGTTGCACACGCACACATGTTCATATGTATTGCTTTTTGTGTCATTCACTTGCATTTGTATGTGTGTGAGCGAGGTTCTTCTATCGAATTCCATGGGCAAGTCAAAATCCCAACGCCCGCCAAATGTTCAAAACTCTGCACACACACATAGTAGGAGCCATAAATTTTCACCTACTTCTACAAAGCCACCTGAAGCCAAGCCCCATTCAACTCACCTCAGACGTCGCTCCTGCTCGTACCGTGGAATCCAAACGGGCAACATCAGCTGTCTGCGTGTTGCGTGCTTCAAAAAGTAAACCATGGCCCGCACATTTTCATGCTGTTTGGAAAAAATAAAAAAAAAAATACGAAATTATAGGCAAAAGAGCAGTTAACACCGTGTTCATTTTGAGTTTTCAGTTTAGGAAGTGTTCAGACGATGCCCAAAATATTTCTCAAAATCGATTTTGATTCCATTGCAATTGTTCAACTTTTTATAAAGTACTCTTTGAAAAGCCTTCTAGCCTACAATTATTTCCAAATTTTGATTCTGAAGAACCATTGCATATGAAACTCTATAATTTATAGATCAGAACTAATCCTGATCTCTACACCATGTTTCTTTTTGTTGTTTTTTTTTCTGTACACATTTTACTTATATTTGAAAAAGAAGAATATCAAAATAATTGTATGATCTACAAATGCTAACAAATTGAAATAAGCAGATTTAGATTTATTCTAAATTGTTTGTACCCTGCTACTTATGTTTTAGCAACATAGTACACAAGGGCGTAGGCAGCTTTTTCCTAGGGGGGACGAAAAATTGTTAATTTTGATTAAATAATGCACGATACGTTAAGATAATAAGTTATGTATATGATCAATAGGAAAATTTCAACAAATCAAGCTCAGTTCCATTTCAAGGCGAAATAATACGGCAAAGTAATGAATGTGTTTTCGACTTTATATGGCGAACATTTTTTAGGGTGGGGCAACGGCCGCCCTTTCCTCCCTGCCTACGCTCTTGATAGAACATATTTAGCTGTTTATGATCCGTTCCCTTCTCGATATCTTCATCTAAAGCACTATGTTAAATAGCTGGAAACGTTTCGTGTAAAATCTTAATCGAACATATTATCGGTAGTAATAGAAAAATTTCAAGTGCACCATCTAAACACATCCTTAACGTACCTGATCCTGAAAATCGCTGCGCCAGCCGGCTATGAAGTGTGGGGCATTTGGTCCAAAGAGTGCGCCCAGAAAAATGCGCTCAAAGGTCTTTTCACACTCGTAGATGGCCACTGTGGTGTGAGGATTAATAATGCATAAAAAATATAAAAAACAAAGAACAAGAAGAGGAGATTGCAGAAACATAAAATTTCAGCTTTAAGAATGTTGCAATAAAAAACTTAATTGTGGAGCTGCACTTGTTGCTGCTTTATTGGCTGGATGGCAATATCGTTGCCTAACATGTTTGCTGGCTGGTTGTTAGGTTGGGTGTGTGGCTTTGGCTTCGTTTGGTTTAGTTTTTTGGCATGCAAAGAAATGCAAACATGGAACAGGAAACCCCGAAAAACAAAAGCGCAGAACAGCATGTGCATGCACAGACGGAACGGAAGAGACGAGAACCAACCGAAGCGGATGTTAACGCAATGTAGTTGGCAAATAACGTTGTAAAGGGAAGATGCCATTGGTAAGGGTAGGGAGGCGGAAAAAAGGGCAGCAACAATTTAGTGCGTGCTGCAAAGCGTCGAAATTCACGCGCCCAATGGACCAATGCGAATTTTTATTGCAGGCCGTACTCCAGCCTGGCTGGTCAAACGTTGCAATACTGGCCAAAAAGGAGGTCAACACACTCATGCGAGCATTTGGGCGAAGAGGCGGGCCTCAGTGTCCCAAACATGCCATTAATTCCGCCACTTTTCTTGTACGAACTTTTGCGTAGCGTTTTAATTAGAGGCAACACACACACTCTAGCATGGCCCAAATAACTTGCAACACTTAAAGACACTTTACAACTTTTACATTGCGTTACGCAGCAATAACAAGAGGAGCGTTGGTACTTTCTTAACGCATTTTCATTGCCAATTAGTAAAAACATGTGATTAAAGTAAAACTGCTGCCTACTTATGGGCCTAATAATCTGTTTTGACGGCAAGCCTGATGCCTCGTTCTTAAATAAAATTCATTAAAATATGCAAAGCAAGCAAACAAAGGCACATCCACCCACGCTGGAGTCCCATCGCCATGCCTACATACATACATATACGAGATATTAAATTATTTAACAACTAAGCTCGTAAGTTGGCCCCAAGTATGGCAGCCTTTGAAACTTACCGAGCAGTTGCACGACCACCGACGAGTCGCGCACGCCCCAATCCCAACAGGTGCGAAGCGCAATGTACAGAATGTTGTGGTACTTTCCCATCAGGCAGACCTGCGGCAAAAGTTTTGTAAAGCGCATTTAAATTTAAATTAATTGCAATATGTATGCACGTCTCACTGCCTTTGACAGCACGCCTGCCCCCTAGGGCTACAACAAAATTGATGGGATTGCCATACCGGCCAGCAAGCAATGGCCCTATTTTAAAGTATTATAACTGAATAAACTTGAGGCGGAAATTTAAACAACAAAACGCTTGTAATATTAATCCAGTAATATTAAACTGGTCAGATTATAGCTATTAGAAAATATTCGATGAAGAATGTTTTTTCTAAGCAATATATCGCCTAAATTAGTTGCCAAATCTGAATTATTTATTACAAGTATATATGCAAATTCATTAGTCTTCAGCTTCTCTGAGTTAATTGAAGTATTACACTTTTGTTTTTAAATACATACGTGGTCTGTTCAAAAGAAAAGATGAAGGTTTTGCTCACCGTGTTCTTCGATTACAGTGCGTGGCGCATCATGAGTTCTTGCCAACAGGCCGTACGGTTAATAAGGAATGACACAAGGAAGTTATGGAATGCAAACGTTCCATAATACATGTATATATATTTACAAGGTCTATTCAAATAGAATTTCAATTCCTTTGAAAAGCATTTATTTATTAATTAATATCTATCTTCTCCCCGTCAAAGTAATAACAAGTAAAAAAGCTAAAGTCGGGTGTCCCGACTTTGAAATACTCTGTACATATGTTTACAATAATTATAGAAAATAAAAAAATTCGAACTCACGTAAGGGTGTATAATTGCACATTTACATAGCAATTGCGTCTGTGTGAGTGTGTGTATGCCTATGCGCATCTATTCGTGTCTGTGTAAGCATGTTTGCAGTCAACCAAAGCACCAGCATCAACAACATCAGCAAATATATTTACGGTTATAACTTCTTGTTAAATCGGTCTATCATAGTGAAACTTGGCATACGGACACATAATAACTAACTGGGGGTATTTGCAAAAAAAATGCTCGAAATTCCAAGAATCACGGGAGTTACGATTTGCTTGGGAGAGGGGGGAGGGAGGGAAATTCCAAAATATACATTTTCTGCATGAGGCATCTGGGACTAAAATTTGGTGTTCCTAGGTATACGAATGAAAAATCGGGAAAACCTCCATAGGGGGAAGTGGGGGAAAATCAAAAAAATAAAACAAACTCGTATAGCGTACATACATAAGGCATCTTTGTGCAAAATTTGGTGTCTCTATTTCTTATAGTCTCTGAGATCCAGGTGTTCACACGGACGGACAGACGAATAGGCAGGGCTAAATCGACTCGTCTTGTCACACTGATGAAGAATATATATACTTTGTGGGGTCTGCCACGCCTCCTTCTGCCTGTTACATTTTTCAGCTCCCGAAAACCTAATATATATGTACAAGAACATTTCATGTACAGAGCATAAAATGTAATGAATATGGATGCATATTGATGAATAAATAACTACTTTCCAAAAAAATACCAAAATTATTCACCTTTTCTTTTGAACAGTCCACGGAAATACTTGTATATTGTATGAGTTGTTAAACTGTTACAGCAAAAGCAAAATCATTATAAACACCATTCTAAATCATCAAAATTATAATAAGAACATTTAATTATAATTTGCCACATAGTTGGCAAGCAAGCGGATACCATGTTCATTTATCGGAAGTATTATACTTTAAATACTACCAACTTTTTGGCTTTAAAACAACATATTTTCTTTGACAGTTAACGGAATTCTTTCAAACGATATCGGAATAACCTGCATACATTATTATCTTCTACTATTAATAATTGTACTGTAATCAATATCAGCCAACGCATTGTCACAGAAAAAGAAAAAGGTTTTGCATAGCAACCACTTACATGTCCATTCTCGTCCTTGGCAAGTTTATGATAGCGCATTGCTGCCTCCACAGACATGCTTGCTACCTCATCCGTTTGCACATTTTGGCCCTCGCTGCAACCTTTAATGATGGCACTCAAATGATCGAGGACATCGCGTCTCGACTGACGATCCTGCAGACCGTTACGAGTGATCTGCTCGAAGGTGTCATTGTAGAAGCACTCGAATATGTAGTCCATGACCAGAAGGCGACGCGGAGAATAGGCACACTGATATGTGGCGCGACAGTGCGCGGCCTGAGGGCGTTTTAGTCGCTTAGGTTTTGCTTTGGAGCTGAAGCCGTACAAAAAAATATCACACCAATAACCCAGCCCTTGCAATTGGCAGCGTAATTGACTTAAAAGTGATTGAAGCGTAAAGAGTAACTGCAAGAACATGTTTTAAATATCTATCTATCTGACCAACTTCTGTTATCTTAAAAATTAGGATATAAATAATATTTTCAATTTTAAATTCTCGAAATACGTTAAACCACTTATAAACACACGCTCGCACAAGGCCAGTATATAACTGTGCCTAGCGCTGAACTGAGAGTATCAGCCCCCGTCTGCTTCTCCACACACCCAACCGGCTTGTGAATGAGAGCATCGCACTCTCCAGTTCTTGCTGTTGCTCTCTCACATATTGATTTTTTCATGTTGGCAATGACACGTCGCCTTATAGAAAGAAAAAACAACAACAAAAGACAAACAAAACATTGAAACATAAACAAATTCAACTTCTTGTACCAGAAGAACCGCCTTTTGAAGTGCTTACAAGGAAATTTAATGCGATAGCACACACATTGGATTTTGGCGCGTTCTCTGAAACGGCTTACTAATGCGCCTTATTTATTTATTTATTTACTGCCCGCCGCCTTTGTCGACAAACAGGTGTTTGATAACGTGCCCGGGCACAAACTGTTTACATTTGCGTCAACAGCACTTGAACTTGCGCAGCTTTTAAAGTATGAGCTTATTATATATGTATGTACCTAGGCACCTACCTAATTAAATTAGCAAATGCGGTGCGTTGTTCTTTGTTTCATTTTAATTAAATTTTTCCAAAATTTATAAACTTTTCACACGCGCTGTGCACCCTCACACACATCCCATTTCAGCCTGTTCAACAGCTGCCTATCAACTGAACACACAAAACTGAATTGGCGGCGTAACGCACAGCTGTTTTACGCTCGCTCTCTCTCTCTCTCTCTGTCTCTCGCGAGGGTGGCTCTCAAAACGCCCCCACATGCTCATGCAGTGCTGCCTCACGCATTGACACTCGCTCACGCATTCTCTACTCTCCCTGTTTTCAAGTTCGGCTACGCTCCCGTGCAGCGATACTAACAGCAGCTTTTTGGCGTGTGGCTGGAGCTGTTCGCATGAATTTTTAATAAAATCATTTTATTGTGGCTTAAAGTGTATAAATTAAATGCATTTAACTTTTTATTTTAACATAAAAAGCCGATTAAAAAAGCGTTTTTAGAGAAGGTCCTCAAGTAATCTCCAGTCTCACCACAACGGAGCTGTCAATTGCCTATAATTTTTCGTATACTTGTATAATGAAACACCCATGCTCCAATGGCTTTTCCTCATTATTAGTAGTACTTTGTTCTTACTGGCTGTTGTTGACTCCTCTTTGCATATCAATTTCAACATAAATTATTCATATTCCTGTACAGTGTTTACGCTTCTCACACATTGTTGGCAGCGATGTCTGTTGTTGTTGGTCTTTTCTCTTTTTGTTGCTGCTTTGTATTATTTACTATTTGTGCTGCCAATTAAATGTTGTGCAAATATTTAATCGCGTATATGCTTGTTTATGTAGTACTATATGTACATATGTATATACATATATCTACAGCACAGGAGCAGAAGTTAATTAAGAAGGATAACGTGAGGAATATGCATGCTCGACTCAACGTCTGTTACTGTGTCCTACCATCTGACTGCTGTCAAGCATTGTAATTAAATAAATAAATACAAACGCGACAGTTAATGCGAAATTAAGTCGCAACGAAAACGAAAAATCGACGAATGTCCTGGATATGGCTGTCATATGTTACTGAATGCTGCCGCGTCGCAAGCAAAGTGCATAATTAAGTGCACGTCATTAAGCTTGCAGTGAAAGGACATTTATTTTTCCATACGCTCCTCTTTTTACGTGTGTAAAGTTATACATTTTCGAGGATTTTATCTCTAGCCGAATGTTTCCAATTTGTCAAGCGTGCGCTAATTGAAAAAACAGCGCCAAGCGTCGACCGCCGGCAATTATAGCTTTGGCCATATGCCGACCAATGGCAACTAGCCACACACAGTTGCATTTGCATATGCCGGCAATAAATTGAATTAAATGTATAATTCAATGCAATCACTCGACATACTACGAAACCCACGTGTATGAATATGTATGCAAATAAAATTGTGCTCTTAATTTTGCAAAATTTGAATATATTTGCATAAATTTATCGATACGTATAACATTCTTCTAACTTGATGTTTACAGTACACTTAAAAGAGGGTTGATAGAAAGGGAATTCCCAATTGAAACTTAAAGTTAATTAAACTAAATCAAAACGGAAACAGAAGACGCAACGACCACTTTTGACTTGTGGTTAAAACTCAATTATGACTACAATTTCTCACTTTATGTGTATATGGTGATTCAAAAATAAAATAGTATATTAATACTTTCAAAGTTTACTCCAACATCACATTAACTTATCGATAACATTTTCTTTAAGAAATATTTTATTATATATTTAAACAAAACGAAAACACACCTTTCAATTTTTTGAATTGGTTGGAAAAAAAAAACACTTTTTAAAGAAACTATTTCATTTGTAATTTTGAGCTCTTACTACTTGCTCTGGTCGTTTTGACAGCATCAGGCATGTTTCCCATTAAGTTAAAGGTTTTCTGAGTGATATTACATTGCCCATTCCGTTTCATTAGTAATTCCCTGCAGGTAATGTTGAGTCATTGCAATATCTTAACACTAGGAACTTAATTTTCTTCCAAAATATCCATGTCGATCGGCTTGCCTGATGATGGTGATTACATTCAATGCAAGAAAAGAAGTAATGAAGTTCAAAAGTTAGGAACAAGCCAACTTCATGAAGAAGAAAAAAATTCTGGAAAAATGGAAAATAGGAAAATTGGAAAGGGTTTCTAAGCTCATGCAAGCGAATTTTTGAGTTTCAGTTCGAAATTAAGAAATTTTTAGATATTACGTTTGTAAATACAACGAAAGTTGGGGTCCATCGCCTTAATTCAGCAAGAATAGACCGTTTTTGCTGGCTTACTAAATTGTTAGTGTTACATAAGAGGATATGCCTAATGACCAAAAAACATACAGTCCAAATACATATAGAAGTGTAAGTGATGGCAACCGATTGGATTCATGCGAAATTTAATATTAGAAAATTGTTTTGTCATCATCCACTTTTAAATATATTTATGTTGCTACTTTATGCATTTTTCAATTATCTTTCTATCAGTGTAGTTGCTTACTGAAGTGTAGTCTGCAAAAATGTAATTATCTTTTCTTATTTTGTATATGAAGTTTTTTGTGCAAGTCGGAAGTGAAAACTTAGCCACGCTCAGACATATGCTGCCATAAAACTTTTATTGTTTTCAACAACTCGTAAACAAAAAAAAAACACAATAAAATTCAAAAAAGAATTTGCATAATTTGGTGGCAAACACAAATAAAGTTAGGAATGGAATGTTACTAAGTGCATTTGTCTGCCAATCAGAAAATGTCACACATGATTCGTAGGTAAATAACTGCAAATCTGTTTCTTGTCCGACTACAGTAATCTACTACACTTATTTTAAGGGATACTAACTCTTAAGAATTTTCGTTTCTCATTGTCTTGTAGCTTGCTGTGCCAGGAGATCAACCAGGACGATTCGTTCCATCTGGAGTATCGCGGCCCGGTCATAATGAAAGGCAAGCCAACGCCCATGAATTGCTGGTTCCTGACGCGCGCCACTGGCACGGGAAGCAGTGGCGCCACTAATCCCAGTGGAAACGGCAGTCTCGACTCGCCTCTACTGCAACCTACAACGCCAACGTCCGCACAGACGCCCACACTGACGCGCACGGGTCATGCAAGCGTCTCACGTACATCCTCGGCTGGAGCTGGCGGTTCAGCTGCTAGTGGCGGTAGCGGTGGTGGTGTTGGGGTAACCCCTTCCTCCACAGCTGCATCCGCATCTACTGCATCACAGCAGGCAGAAGCATAGAAAATGTGTACGGATTCGTCTTGCTGCTGCTGAAATATCCTGTAAAGTCGCCACCACAAGTCTACATACGTGAATTTGCGCATGACTTCACCAACTATCCAACTGCCTGTCCACCCCTTCTCCAGATCCACCGTAGTCTGCAAATACACACAAGCCACAAGCAACGAGCCACGAGCCACTTAACCACTTCATTTCTACGGCATTGTATTTGTCTTGGCCTGCATGCATGTGTGCGTCTGTATGTGTCTGCGTTTGTTGTTGTTGTTGGTGTTGATGTTGGTGTTGGTGTTGCTCCTATAAGCTGCTGGCTCCTGTTGGCTCCACGTTGCGGTCGTATCGCTGTGCAAGGTAATTTATGTTAATGCTCCTCTATCTGTAACCACTCACCTCGCATTTAAGTGGCTTCTACACATATGTATTTAGTACATGTCTGTATGTGCGCCACTCACAATCAGAAACACTCACACATACACACATACACGAACTTATCCGTTCTTGCTCTTACGTGTCGCTTTACAAATGATTTACATTTGTTCGATTTTTGCATTGCTTATTCGTAATTTATGGCATATTAAGTGCACATATTTGTATAACGCACATCACACAATGCTCGAGTGTAGAGCGTAGAGCGTAGAGCCGACCATTCGAACGTCACATATATTTGATTAGAAAATTAGCATTTATTTAATTTTATCTCGTTTTTAATGGAAATGCTCGTTACAAACTTAACGGCCAGTTAAGCAAACAAATCCGTTGTCAAGATTTTTATTGGCCCCAAACACAAATTTCCATTAGCAAAATATCTTATCTATGGCCAAAACTCGAAACAAAATTTAATACCAGCTATAAAAGAGACACAACAGAGCTCAGCATCCACACTCCAACATACGCTTTGTAACACAGACACATCTTTCATGCCACTTGCACGCTGTTTGCTGAAGCCTTTCGTCGGTGGCGGCAGTAAACTAGATAAGTCCAAAACAACTCAATATAAAAGCCATAATATGGCAAACAGTTATATTGTGTGTAGTCTATCTTTGTATGTATTTTGTCAAGCCAAAGAAAAAGCTAGCGCCAGAGCCGGGCTCAGTGTACGACTGTTCTGAATTTTGCAGCATACTTTGCAGCGCCACCAACAGAGTGTCAACAGTGAAGGGTCCCGTGCCCAAAAATTGTTCATACTGCTGCTGGCCTTGTTGTTGCTGCTTTCTTCATTGCTGTCGTATCAGCAACGAGCACTAAATTTTGGCATTTATTTTGTGTATTTTGTTTGCAAATGTTGGGCACGGAAAGCAGCCAGGCTGAAAAAGAGTTAAATTTCAACAGTATGTACAAATCACAGGCAAATGTTTCACATCGCAAGACACACAGTAACTAAGAGACCACAACAGCACACCCACACACACTCATCTCTATATAAGTATGGAAAACTAAGAACATTTCGCTTAGCATCAAATATTTATCCAACAAATATTTGATACAAACAGAGGGATAAGTATAGCGGGGAGTGGAAGTTACGAATAAGCAAGTTTAGACAAAATACGAACGAAACCACTACACACAACTCTAAACATCGTAATAGATACACCACATCTTGTAAAAAATATGCAAATTTTACGTTTTAAGGACATTGGTTAAAACTCATTTAATGTGAAAAAAAATTGTTGCAGATATCGCTTCTACGGTATCTACGGTCTAATCCTAATTTCAGCTCTTCTGTCTATTCTCTACATGAAAAAAAAAACAATATTGACTCTTTAGAAAATGGGTTTTATGAAACATTGCATAACAAACTTTGGCTCTAAAATTATAGACATTTCGACGCAAAACAAATACCCATATTATTTCGGGACTTTGATTATTTTCGAAGTTTATTCATTCTCTTACAATATAAAGATTAATTTTGAAACATAAAATATTGATTATTCTTTAAATTTAATTTTGTTAAACAAAAGTAAACTCAAGTTGTATTTATTCATAGGGAATACGGAAATAATAGTAAATTATATATACCCTTACACAATAAGCGAAGACAACACCTTATAGTAGAGTTTTCGGTTAAAAAAAATTACCATAAAATTGTTTTTAATTAATTTCAGCTATAAAATCCGGTAACAGAGCTTGGTCTTGCAATTCGCAACTCTATACAAAACGGCAAAATTACAACTGAAGTTTATTTTTAATCAAAACGTAAAACTTATATTTTGTTGCTCTTAAATAATGACTAATGGTTGAGTTGCTAAGTATTACTCAAAGTTTAAATATTGTGAGAAAACGAATAAAAATTAGAATTAGAATTAGTATCACAATTATTTTTAAACATTTTAAATAAAATATATCCGAATTTAAGAAAGGCATATTTTCAGAGATTTTTTTTGCTATATTAACTGAATGCTTTTTTCCATTCCAACCACCAAAATTCAAAGTGAATATCTACTTTTGGCCATGAATGTAAACAAGAATACTTACAAACATATACACATAACTAAAGAGTATTTTTAACCGAAAGTTTATTAATGTATAGATGTTATTTTGGAAATGTACAAGTGGATGTGTGTGTGTATGTGTGTATATGGCTGTGACATTGACGTTGATGCCCAGCAAGACAACAAACCCGAGAAAATCTCTCGCCCACATATTTGTTGGCTTGCATACAAATTGGTGAAACCGCCCATTTGGCCCACTTTTCGGTGGCATTTTATATTGCCATTCAATGTCTGTTTATGGCCTCGATATGCGCACATTATCGTTAAATGCCAACGGCACAACAACAACAATTTTAGCAACAACAACAGCAATAATAGCAACGAGTTGGCATGCAATTTGATGACTCTGAAGATGTGGTAGACAGAATCGGCAGCACCCATCAGGATAATGATTATTCCATTGGAGTGCTGTGCGGGCTATGGTCCCTCAAGTCTGGTATGCGCAATAACGAGACATCGTTAGAAATGGATTAACATTGATTAGTTATTACGAGTAGGCTGGCCCAACGCACTCTCCGTCCCCTGACAACCACACCCGGGCCACACAATTCAGCTAATTAAAGCTGCGAAAGGAGACAGTATGCTACAAAAATTAGTATGCCTTCTTTCATTCATTTCAATTTTAATAAATCATATTTGGTGGAATGAAAAAAAAGAAACGGCGCTCATTTGAATGCATAATGAATCACACGAAAGCAGGCCTCAAAAGCGAACAAATTATAATCCGTCCCAAAAAATGGTTGCGCCACATTTTGCTTTGTGTTGGGCTCCATTATGAGGTCCCCTTTGCTGCTCAGACAAAATTAAATATTATGCTTTGGGTTGGCTGCCAGCAGGAGGCAACTGGCCCTGGTCAAATTTATACAACACTTTCGTCACTGGACTTGGCAAAAATGGTGGCATCCGGTTGCCTGCCTTTCAATGCTTCCATATTTGCCTTCTTTCAACACAAAATTTGTCTTATAATTTTTCTTTATTTCCCGCCACCACTCCTCCACTTTGCCTTATTTTTTCACATCCGGCCTATTTGCACAGGATGCTGTTGGGCTTGTCGGCTGTTGTGCTTTAAATTTAAGTCGCCCTCGGCAAGTTTAATATTTTCCCTTTTATTTTATGATAGCCATGAGCATAATTTGTGCTGCATCAATACGATGGCTTCACATAATGAGCATAATTAGTGCAGCAGTGTAAGGCCAAAGGAAGCTATTGAGCTTCATCAATTTTAGTTTGCATTGTGAGGCTCTGAGGCAACAAAATGTGCAATTTCTTGCTTTATAAAAATCATTCTAACCTCCCTCTTTATGATCCTGAGCTGATGCCCAACTTTGCACTTCGCTTTTACTTTTCAGCTGCAAGTGTAATTATTTTTAATTAATGCCCGCGGCAATTCATTTGTTTGGCCCATCGATTCTTGCACAATCATTGAAGCAACGAGGCGAAAAGGAAAAGACGGGGCCATTTGGCAGAAGCTGTTAGGCATGCAGGGCATATATGTATACGAGTATAAATAAGCTTCAATGGCATGTTGATTAAGTTAGCTGTTCAAACAAGCGACCCATATCAAAACTGTTGCTCCACTACTCTGCACCTCTACACCTTCTTGTGGTCTTCGGTCTGGCCAACACATTCCAATGTGCTTGAGTAGATCATTTATCATCTCTTATACACTTCTTCGCTGCTTTCAGCATTTTGTCATCTTTACAGCACACGCACAAAAAAAGAAGCAAAAGAGGAAAAAGAAAGAAAAAATAGCTGCCATATATCATCATATGCACTACTCTCTTCCATTCTGGGGGTCAGTTTCAGAAAAACAAGTTTTCTTTATGTTTCCGCATCGACAAAGTCAGCGTCTAATACATAGCGTTGTTGTTGTTGCAACAACAATTTGCCAGCGTCACACAATTTCCTTTTCCGGCACACTCACACACACACACACTTTCATTTGAAACACTCATATACACATAATGGGTGGCACTACTGCCAATGTAGTACAAATCCTCAGAACCAATTCAATAAATATTTGCCTAACTAAATACAAAATAAACTTTAGCTGGCTCTAAGCCATGGCGTCTACAACTTGACCTACAGGCATTTTCAAGGCCATTGATAAAAAGCAAGTACATACCGACATTATTGGAGATGTGCAGCTTCAGCTTTAACCAGTTTACAAATGAAGCTCTTCGAGTGAACTTCTTAGATATGTGGATAATTGTATTTTTTAAACAACACGATAAGTTTAGGCTAATGACATACAAGTATGTAGATAAAACCATAATAATCAAAAACCTAAAAAGGAAAAACTGTAACTAAATTACAATATTACCTAATGAGATCTTCGATTCATTTGAGAAACATTTTATTGCCATCCGGCCACCTCTGCCACCTGCCAAGTGTAGTCAGAGCCATTATTAGATCTATACACAAAAGCTTACAAATATAATTTAAATTTTTTTAGAGGCAAGAAACTTTATTCAGATTAATAACTAGTTAGTTTACTTTAAAAAAAAAAGCACAAAGTAAATCTCAGAGCAAACAGCATTTGCGTTACCATAAACATTCAAACGGCTATGAAAAAGCGATTGCCTAATTTGATTGAAATTCCAAGAGTTAAAGAGAATTGTGGGCTGCATCGATTTAAAATAAACTTAAACTTAAACTAGCATACTTTAGGAGATATTTGCGGTCTCAATAATTCTAGGCAACACTTATCGGGCATAATAATTTCGTGTGGGATAATGGTTAATTGCCAAACGCTTGAAAGTGAAATTGCTTTGTGGTGTCAAATTATTCAAACAGAAATTACAGCTATCAAGGGAATGGGCTGGCGAGGCAAACAATCCTATTCTCAGCGTATTCAAATGC